TCTAATTTTTTTTTTTTTGACCGGTAAGGGGATCGGAACCCTTGGCTTGGTGTCGCCCACACCGCGCTCAGCCAGTGAGCACACTGGCCATCCCTATATAAGATCCGAACCTGTGGCGTGGGTGCTCCCAGCACCGCACTCTCCCAAGTGAGCCATGGATTCGGCCCTCCTGTATAATTCTAATAGAACAGTGCTGAGAATTTTGAGACATTCAGTTTTTCTCTGGCAGTCAGGGAAAGGAGGAGGAACAGACACTTCTTTTTAAAAGAAGTCATGCCATGTACTTGCTTTGCCCAAAATCATGGGTAATGTTGACAGAGCTAGAACCAGAAGCTATATTCCCTGGGATCCAAAACACAGCTAGGTCTTGCCACTTGTTAGTAGTCATTTCCTTTCTGCTGGGGAGGAGGCAATCTGGTGTGAAGAGCCTGGGAACTTCAGGATAAATGTAGCAGACTGAACACAGACTTCCCCTCTCAAAGGATGAGGAACCGAACAAAAATAATAAACACAAGGTCAAAGAATGAGAAAGATGTAAATAAGTAAGAGGCAACAGGTTTGGAAAGCAATTAAATGAGTGATAGAGGAAGCCAAATACCTAGTGCCTAGGGTGGAAGCTTAAAAGAAAGATTTGCATTGCAGAACCTGAGAAAGGCATCACTGTGTGCTTTGTTGAACCTACCCATATAGGAGATATTTGGCTGGCAACATGGGAGGGGAGAAGTCAAAGTCTATAGAGTTCTGGGCTTAGATCCAAGAAACCCAGGATGCTTACTTCCTTGGGATCTACTAAGATGGAAGAGCCTTCAGAGGGCGGAGCAGGGCTATTAGGAGTTTCTGACCTTCACTGAGTACCCTGGCCCCAGGGAATCATAGTTCAGACAGATAAAAAGCACACTCAATTAGCCAGCTTCACCTGGAACTGAGAATTGTTCTGTGACCACAGACTGCAGTCAAGTCATGGCCTTAGTCACCAGAGCTTAGAGTGTAAGGTTAGGCCTAGAACCAAAATTGGGGGATCCCAGAGCCACCTCAGGGTGAAATAACTTCTGGGCCCACAGTGTTTCACTGATAGGGGAAACATCTGTACTTGAGTAGATGTCTAAGGAGAAAACCAGCTACTTATAGGGGTAAAGGTTTTACGTGAAGTGTGTTGGTGCTTATTTGATTATTATTGATGCATAAATAAATGTTCATTTTTTTCACTGGGATGCTGGGGAAGAAATTTGGGGAAAATAATACTTAAACATATATGTCTTTAGGCTGCCTAGCATCAAAGTCAGAATTCTTTGGAAGGAAAATATTGTTGGAGAGATTTCAGAATCCTAAGTGAAGAAAGTCCTTCAAAGTCCCATCTCTGATATTCCTTTAGGTTGCAAGTACAAAATGGGACTAGCTTAAGTGTAGAGTTTTTTTTTTTCTGCTTTGTCCTTACCAGAGATGGGAACAGTTCTCCTTGAAATGTCTGTATTCATAAGTATTTGTAGTTCTTACTTATATGTTTTTATAGTCTGAATAACAGCCTATGTCTTTAACCTTTGTATACAAAGGCAGCTAAATAACCAAATGGAGACATCTGAACGTTCTGACAGTAATATCAAAAACTTGGCTTCAGCTGCTATCAGGGAACTTTCTCCTTAAAATGAATAGTTTCCAATTAAAATCAAATAAGGTAAATCTTGAGACAAGGCTTTTCCTACATACTTTCTTCATAGCTTGGACAAAAATAAGGGAAAGGGGGGCACTCTGCAGAAGCCAGTATCACTAAAACTAGCTAAGGAGTTCAGACTCAGTTAAAAAACTGGTATGCTCTTTTAGAAATACATGTTTATAATTAGTACTTGATAAAATTAGACAACCTCTGGGTCTTTGCCAGTTGCTGAGAACTAAATAACCACAGCAGTGCTCAAAGAACTGGGAATGATTTGTGTATCTATTTTAAATAGGTAGTGTCAGTGGACAGAGCCATGCAAATTGTTTTCTGAGAATTGCTTTTAAGTCTGAGTCATAAATTACTGAACAGAATTTTTAAAATCAATGTTAAAAATTATATTCCTATTGGATAGAAATGGGCAATTTCTTAAAATGAAGCAAATTCACTGAAAAGAGTTCTTTCTACATCACAATCTTTAGGTAGGGATGCACCCAAAGCTAAAGGTAGGCCGACAGGAAAAGGGAAATATAAAAAAGTCATAGAACTTAAAAGGGGTACAGGTGGTATTGAAAGAATAGACTTTGCTAGATCATCACTAACCTATAGCTTGTACGACTTATTTGGGTAGAATATTATATTTCCTTAAATACAGATTATTTATTTACTGCCAATTGCCCTGTTAAATAGTTTGAGGCTAGCAGAGCTCTCAAGTAAATTGTTTGGTGAATTAAGAGTCCCTGGCTGGGCTAGGTAGCTTGGCTGAGGGCAAGGAAAGGACAGCCTGTGCTCAGAATGCTATCAGTTTATCCCAAGACTTGGAACTAATGACAACACTTGCCATTGACCATCATGATTATAATCCAAAATGCAAGGGGTGGAGTTGCCCCTGAAATCTTGTCAAAAAAGTCATAAACAAGGAAACCCTTGTTTACAATTTTTGAAGCTAGATAGGTAATAAATTCTTCTAAACGCAAGTTACTGGGACAATAGGTTTTCTTTTCTTTTTTTTGCTTAAAAGAATTAACTTTTAGGCATTTATAAGTATAAAGCATGCTTAACTAAAGTCCTTCCATATATAATAAATAATACTTTGATAATTATCTTAAAATGCCAACCTTTTAGAGATGTGGTGATATTTACTGTAAGTTTTCAGTTGGTGTGTTAAACTATTTTATATCTTTTCTCTCTTAGCTTTATCTTCAAGCCAGGATGAAGGGAGACTGGGCAAGACTCTTACGCCCCACACTACAATTTGGTCTTGTTGCTGTATCCATTTATGTGGGCCTTTCTCGAGTTTCTGATTACAAACACCATTGGAGTGATGTGTTGACTGGACTTATTCAAGGAGCTCTGGTTGCAATATTAGTTGTAAGTACACAGGGCAGCAGCCTACGTCTTGATATTGCTAAACATTTGGATAAATAAATAAGTAGGAAAAAAAATCCCCAGTGAGAGAACTATGCAAGGGCAGAGAACATGGCTCAATATTTCCTAGTAGGTCTACGTCTTGATATTGCTAAACATTTGGATAAATAAATAAGTAGGAAAAAAAATCCCCAGTGGGAGAACTATGCAAGGGCAGAGAACATGGCTCAATATTTCCTAGTAGGTAAAAATCCCCTAAAGTCATTTTAGGATAGACAGCAGGTACAAACTAGGTTACTTTTCGCAAAAGTTATAGCTGTCTTAGTATTTTTATTGTAAAAGCATCTGGCTATATAGTTCTTTTTGGTAGGAACTGAAAAAAACTAGTTTAATGAAGAGTAACTCACTCTCATTAAGTGTTGCCAGAATGAAGCTATGTGCCAAAGATATAACAAAGTAACTCTCAATTTGGAATAATCTCCTTTAAAAAAAATTCCTGCTAGCCACTAATTTTCTGTCCTTAACATGTACCCCCCATAAATATCCTTTGGCTTATATTTATTTTTACAAACTGCTCACTGCAACTTTGTATATGATTTTAGAAACTAAGTGTATTATGCTGTTAAATATTTTGCCATGTTCTAAGTATCACCTGCTCTGTTTAGGCTGTATATGTATCAGATTTCTTCAAGGAGAGAAATTCTCCTTTTAAAGAAAGAAAAGAGGAAGACTCTCATACAACCCTGCATGAAACACCAACAACGGGGAATCACTATCGGAACAATCACCAGCCTTGAAGGGTGGCAGGGTGCCCAGATGAAGCTGACCTGTTTTCTAAAGGAAAATGATTACAACCAGAAGGCAAGAGGATGAATCTTTCTTCCCAGTGTACAGGCTTTTAAGGGACTGCTGCTATGCCTCTTGGATGCCCACTTTATCTGTGTGTATATAGTTACATTTAACACAATGGTTATCTAATAGCGCTAAGTTCATTAAAAAAATTTCAAGCCTTCCACTAAAACAATGCCTCACCTGTACATTTTTTATTAAAAAATGTAATGCTTATGTACAAATGTGTATGTAATATGATTTCTTAGGATGTTTGATTTAAATATAATACATATTAAAATGTTTGAGGACAATTGTCTTGAGATGGGAGAACCAATTCAACACTTGTAAGCACTGGTATGTAGTCAACTGTAATCAGACAGGTGGTAAATAATTTAAAATTCCACTTTTCTTTAGCTGACTATTTATAAGTAGAGGCTGGCAGCAAACACAATATCTCTCTTGATCTTGGTGATTCCTAAGAGAAAAGAAAAGAAAAGAAGGTTTAATCTTTCAAGACCACAAAGCACATAACTTCCCTCTAGTGGTGTTTTCCAGATCCCTGTTTTTGACTGAAGTACCCTGCTGTATGTGTGCATGCGTGTGTGTCTAAAATTATTCAAGAAGACTCCTTCCGGGAAGGACTAAGCTATCAAAAGAAGTTAGCTGGTCCAAAAGCACTGATTTTCAACCTGCACCAGAGGACAATATATTTTCAGTTACCATGTGAAATTCCTTCTGGACTAAGGCAGGACAAACATAAATTTTATTATTTTTAAAACGTTCATAACTTAACTTAGATTTAAACCCCAAGTGATTAAACAGGCCTGCCTCTATCAACAATGTTCAAAGGTAAGCCAGTTTTTGCAAACCTCTTCTTAAGATACTAAATTGTAAGTCAGAAATCACTAGCATCGATTGACATGGAATAACAATAGGGCTGCTACTCTCTCATGCTTTAGCTCACAATCCTTTTCTTGGTCAAGATTCAGGAGGAATGCCAAAACTATTTACAAGCATGCTTATGGACCTCCCACCCCATTACTGCCACTTAGTCTAGCTATCCTTTCTTGATCTCGTTTCCCTGCTTCCACCTTGCTACTTACTCTACAGACTTGCCTTCAATGCAACAACAAGAATTGCCTTATAAAATGCAAGTTAGAGCACACTACTCCTGTGCTCCAAACCTCCAATCATTGCAGAGTAAAAAGCCTGGGGCTTGGCACTACAGGATCATTTCCTTGCTCCCTCCAACCCCTATACCATTCTATTCACTAATCACTCTGGTCCAACCACATTGGCCTCTTGCTATCACTAAATATATCAAACATATATCAAGGGGGGCCTTAAGTGTTACCTTCTGTGTAGAGTCCCCCAGACCATCTCATCCACCCCCCTCTGTAGATTTATCCCCATCTGATCTATTTTAATAGTTGACTTTATTGTCTGTCTCCCTGAACTGGGATGTAAGCTTCATGAAGACAGGGATTTCTCTCTTTTTGTTCACTGCTGTATCCCATAGTGCTTAAAACAATGCCTGGCACATAGTAAATGCATAATAAATATATGTAAATGAATGTATGTATATAAATTCATTTACATATATTTACAATCTCAAAACTTTTTCCCCGCACACTCTAAAATTTTATAGAAACACTACTAGATAGCCTTCCTCCTAGGTTGTGGTCAAGGGCTCAAGTCTCACAAAATTTACCTAAATTATTAGAAAAAGCTTATGAACTGGATACTGACCTTCTGCAAATTTATTTTCCAGCTCAGTGTTTCCAATGGCTTTTGCTGCTTGACACATCTGTCGAAGTAATTCTTCCAGGCGCCTCATACAACGAATTATGCTACCTGGACACAAAAGGAAAAAATCATTTGTAAAATGGAAATTATCAGGAACAGTAGAATTTTTTTAAGAGGCAAGCCAGGAGAACACGGGATGATTAACTAATAGTACTTTGAGGGACTTCCCATGAAGTAAATCAGCTAGCAAACTTGACTGGCAGCCTGGTAGCACTAGCAAGGCTACAAAGGTGAAAGGTTGAATTCCTACCCTTGACTAATGGTAGAGAGAGATGTGAATTTATTAATAATGTATTGACACTTGGTAGAGGTGGGTAAACAAAATGCCCTCGGAGTAGAGGAGAGAACTTTGGGTGAACAATGGCAAAGATGACATATAATCTGGTTCTCTAAGACTGAGGTGGTCTCTGTCAGTCAACCACAAGGGAAGACCACTGAGACAATGCAGAAAAGCCTGGCAAACTGCAGCTATTCAAGGACTCTGAGTGTGGCCTATTGAGGCATCTGGATACCATCTTTTCATCCTATAGAAAGAATGTAACAGATTTTTAAGCAGAAGAGTAACAGGGTCAGATTTATCATTTTAAAGGTACAGTCATTCATTCTTCTTGACCTTAGACTCTTTCATCAGTGCTTTCTTTACACAGTGTGTCCTCAAGGAAGCACCAGAGGAGATATGCCTTTTCCCATGGGTCTTGACTCTGTCTGAGACCAGTGTTTCTATCAAAGCTGAAGCTGTTAATAGTTTTACTTCTGTCAGACTTGTGCAAGGAGAGGCCTGGTACTCTTTCTCTAAGTGCTATCTGCCTAAACTTAAAACTCCGGGGACTTCATTTTTAATGTCTGAAATAAATTAGGAATATCGGTTCTCAAGATGCAAACTAGGTCTTTTTTAATTTCTTGCAGGAGTAATTCATTAACATTTATCAAGTTCTTGTAATATACTCATTGCTCAATATTGAGGCTTTTTTCCCTTTCAATGTCCTCCACATTATGTATGTTTCAATGCGCCTAAGGGGGAAAAACAGCTGAGAGATTTAAATCACAAAGCAGAATGGAAACTGAGCTTGGACAAATGCAAAAGTACAAGCTGTTTACCTAACAGCACAGTCCGTCAGGAAGTGCCCATGCTCTTGCAGAAAACTTTCTCTCCTACTGGGGTGATCCTAAGAGCCTGAAGAATATTGCACAAGGGCCCTGGACCAATAAGGCCTCGTTTCTGAACCATACCTATGGGCCACAGCAATGAGAACACAACCATGCTACTTAATGTAGTAGGTTTATGGGATTAGACTGGTGATAAAGGAGAGGAACACAACCAGCACATGGGTCCCTCAAAAGACAAAGGGGGATACTCCACTTAAAAGGATGATACCACCTCCCTACTTATAGGATTTTTACCTACTTTAGCCATGGTTCAAAGGAGTGAGCTGAGGCACCAGGAGTTAAGAGGAAAGATGAGATGGAAACCTGGGTTGTAATCCAGTTTCTGTTGCTAACTAATTAGCTCTGTAATCTAAGCCCTTACCCTACTCTCTCCATTCTCTCTTCCTCTCTTCCCTTTCTTATTTGTAACAAATAATAATAAATAAAACTTAAAAAGAGGGCTTACTCTATTTATTCTGGGTTTGTTGCACTTGACACAGATGCACAAATTCTTTGAAAAGGGTAAAGATTCAAAATAAGGTGGTAATACAGCCCCTTACCCAAAATATTCAAAGTCTATAGCTTTTTTGTCCTTCCTCTCCTCCCATTGAAAGTTCACACAGTTATTAGAGAAAAATGCCAGCCCTCCATTATAGCCTATTTCCACTACACAAAATTCTATAAAGTCATTTGGCTCCTAGCAGAGAAAAGCTTTAATTAGATGACAGTTAATAGAAAAAAGTGGTAGCCAGAATAGAGACACACATTCCATCAAACACAAGGGCCAAGAGTAATACCTCGTCCCCATGTATACACATCTTCCAATAACCCTGAGGGTTTTCTTGTATTTTAGCAGAGTAAAGTAACTGACATTTATAAAGACATTTAGGCAAAAAGGAAAGGTGAAATTAGACTGGATATGTTTTATGTTTTGAGAAAAACTGGCGATGTCCAACATTTTCTGAGTACTAATTTTATGGCAGGTCTGCACTCTAATGTGAATTTTCTCATTCAATCCTCACAATTCCATGAAACAAGTACTGTTATTATCCCTATTTTACAAAAAGGGAAAAGAAGCTCATAAAAATTACATTCATAACTTGACCAAAGTCAGAGCCAGGATTCAGGATGTGAATCCAGACAGTAAAATTCTAGAGCTCAAGCATTTAACCATATTACTACCATCTCATATAGAAATGATTTATCTGGATTTTAATACATATATTATTTATATAAATGACAACTGACAAATTCAGTTTATGCATTTCTTAAATAATTAAGAAAATATTAGAAATATTTTAATTAAGTTTTTGGCCTTACTATAAACTCTTTGCTCAAGTAGAAATCCTTCCTGCCAGGTAATGCCAAAGAATTTACATTAGTTAATGGGTGTCAAGAAGTAGGTAGTAAGGGGCCGGCCCGGTGGCGCACTGCTATAGTGCGCCACTTGGGAAGCGCGGCGGCGCTCCCACCGAGGGTTCGGATCCCACATACAGA